TCTCTCTCTCTCTCTCTCTCTCTCTCTCTCTCTCTCTCTCTCTCTCTCTCTCTCTCTCTCTCTCTCTCTCTCCTCTTCTCTTCTCTTCTCTTCTCTTCTCTTTTAAAGTAAAGGATAATCTCCTCTCCCCAACTGCAAGAATTAAAGTAGCATGCCATCTGCTAGCCATTATATGATGGTCTCTGACCACTGGAGCTTTTAACTGCTGACATTGATTTTAGAAGTGGGAACTGCACAGCTGCTGCCGGCATTAGACGTACCTTTAAACTTACCCCATTTAGAATGGCTTTTAAAGTAAAGAAAATGTACTTATTCATTTGGTTTGACTTACTGTTAAAAACCAGACATGCATCTTTTATGTGTGATCATCTTGAAGCAGGCCCAGACTATATTCAATAAAACCACTGTTTTGTTAAATATGCAAGTAAGCTGAGCAAGGTTAGGTTAACTTAGCAAGATGTATTTGAATAGTAACTTCTACTTTGATTTTTTTCCTCCCTCAACCTTCTTACTAAGGCGAGAATCCCTGATCACTAGAATGTTTTGTTTTTTGAGAACCCGGCCATTAAAATTTGTGCCTCACGGTCCTAATAATGTCTGACTTTGGAAATTGTTGTGCAATAATGAAGCATAAATTTCAACGCGGAGCATGATGAGATTTACTGATTAATTTAAAAACTTGGCATTATTTGTTTAGCCATAGAAACTAATCTTTGGAAATATTGATTTATCATCGAATAGAACAGTATGTTTCAATTAAGACGGCTCTGGAGATTTGTGAGACTGAGAAGTGTGCTTTGTTTTTCCTCCCCATTTCAGAATATGACAGATACCTAGCATCTAGCAAAACTATGGCAGCAGCTTATCTAGACCCAAACTTGAATCATACGCCAAGCTCAAGCACAAAAACGCACCTCAGTTCCGGGGTGGAACGTTCTCCGGGGACAATGGAACGGGTCCTGAAAGTTTTTCATTATTTTGAAAGCAACAGTGAACCGACAACGTGGGCCAGTATTATCCGACATGGAGATGCCACAGATGTTTGGGTGAGTTGATTTCATGTTTTTAAAATGTTTAGAGCTTCTGAGGTGGAAGCCCTTCTTATAAGGTGAGCCAAGTAGCTTATTGGCTGTGTTGAAGGAACAGTCTTCATCATGGTTCAGTCCAAGCCGGGAATAAACAACATGGCGAATGCTTTAGGAAGAAGGTTGCAGTTTATTGAAGAGGAGAGCCAGACAGGAAGATGGCTCTGGAAGAAAAAAGGGAGTGAGCACATGTAGGGAGTGGGTTTTTATACCCTCTGGAGCCTTTTGTTTGGAGTTGTTCCTGTGGCATGAATTTTGACCTGAGTCTGAGTGTGCCTTTCTGGTATTCTGATGGTGGTGGGTTAATCCTATTATGTCCCAAGGGTCATATCTTGCTTCCCTGGGGCTGTGGCTCATGACTCTTAGATTTTTGGTGTTAATTCTAGGGATCTTTCTTCCTAATCCCAGTTTCCTGACTCCAGCCTTTCTGACAAGATTATCATCTGCATTTTGCAAACTTGGTTTCTGTTTGGGACAGAGAGACTTGGGGGGGGGGGGGTTGGTTTCTGCCTTTAAAATCCTTTAGGGAAATATATTCTGCCTTTTAAATATTTCCAAAAATATTTCTTTCTCTGGGGTGTGTGTGACTTCCCACAGCTGTGTAACACCGATGTTCCATGCTCTAGTTGTTTTTTCTTCTGTATGGACTCTTAGCCTTGAGGGGTGTGGGAGCCTTAAAATTTGCCAAGGTTGGACACCCCTGCTCTGGAGGCTTCTTTACGTTTAGAGGTCTCATGCTAGAAGCCTCAAGATCTCTCCCCTTGGGGTGGGGGTGGGGACTTATATTTTAACAGATGCTGTCATGGCTACCAAAGAGGTTTGAGCATATGGAGTCTAGCTATACAGTAGTTATCAATTTACAGCCGGATACTTAACTACCATTTGAAGTTACGGATTCCCCATCCCCCAAGTCTTCTTTACGATCCATTTTCAAAGTTATGGTGGCTGTGTGTGTGTGCATGTACACAAATGCTGATGTTTATGGCTAATGTTTCTTTATTATGAAATAATCTTATTTGGACACAATTTACGCAAAGCTTTTATTCTGTTACAGAATAAAAGCTTTTTATATCAAAACTAGCTGTACCCGGCCATGCGTTGCTGTGGCTCAGTCTGGAAAAAACGTGTGTTGCTTTTACATCCAACAGATGGCGCTGTTTTTCAAAAAAAAGCATGTTTTTACCTGTCACAGGTGTGACATCTCTATAATATAGGTATATAAAAACACGCACGTATTCGAATGCAACGTTGTGTCAAAATTTCAAAGCAATCGGTGAAGACCTTTCGGAGATTTGAGATTTTGAACAAACGAACATTTACATTTTTATTTAAATAGATATGCATTTGAAAAGTACTCAGAAAATCTATTAAAAAAAACACATTTTCTATCAAGCTAAACAGTTTATGTTTTTTTCCCCTTCCCACCTTTAGGGCATAATTCAGAAGATCGTGGACTGTCACAAAGTAAAAAATGTCGCCTGTTTCGGTTTACGGCTTAGTCACCTACAGTCCGAGGAAGTTCACTGGCTGCATCCAGATATGGGGGTCTCCAACGTGAGAGAGAAATTCGAAGTAGGACATGCACCAGAGGAATGGAAGTAAGATTCATTTCCGTCTTACTTATAAGTGCAAAAGGGTGGGTGGAATTGCCTGAACGTATAAACTGCATCGCGGCCTGTCTACGTGCTTGAAATAACCACAATGAAGTTTATGAAGAGACGGTTTTCTTCTTGCTCCTTAAGAATAGAGATGGTGTGAAATTGGATGTTTAATTTAATTTAATTTAATAATTTAATTTATATACCGCCCTTCTCCCGTAGGACTCAGGGCGGTGCACAGCATATTAAAACAGACAAACAAAATACATCAAAGAACAAAAAACCCCCATAAAACCAAATTAAAAGCCAAATATTAGAAGCTGTGTGTCAATTAAAATTTTCTTAAAATCATCCCTACCTAAAATCCT